TGGAGAATGACTGGTTCTTTTCTGTTCACTTATGCCGGCCGTTGTTGTTCGAGTTTACGGTGCATTTCGTCGATATGTTATCCATACTCCGGACCACAGGTGATATAAGTAGCTGAGATATGCGCAATGCGAAGGACCCGGATGGTGTAGTGGTGAAGTGCGCTGCTCCCCGGTAAGGACAACAGCGCGTGTTCGTTCTCCATTGCATACACCTGTGGTCCGGAGTTTTGCAAATATCTCAGCATTTCATACGAGTTATATTTGGCAACATAACCTGCCATTAAGAAGAAAAAAAAAGGCCATAAATAAAAGATTTAAGATTATGTTGGCACAGTTAATTCATCATCACTACCTCTACCACAAACTTCTGTAGTATTTCGAACTGCCTCCGCTGCACTACGACCGAGTTTGAAGCAATAAAAGAAAATTCAACGAAAATTCGTTTTTGGAGCCTAGAAGCTCAAAGCTGAAAAGTTTCTTAAAAAGTTTATTTTTTAACGAAATACAAAGACCTAGTAAAAGGTTAAACGATAAAGCTCTACGCGTTGATCATTCCCTGAGGGATGCGCCACGCGCATTCGACTTTATTGAGTATCGTTGGAGGTGATTGAAGGCATATCTGGCCATGTCTCGCTGTGGACTACCAATGCATCGATGCAGCGCTGCTATCCTACCAGACAAGTGTGGTGCCAATTTTCCGACCCCGGGGTGGGAAGGCTCTGTGAGCCATGGGCGCTGAGACCGATTTCGCGTGTGTGTAGCAGTGGTGCATCGAACCACTGCGCCAAAGGCCTAGTAAGTGCATAAAATCGGTTTTTAGCAAGATTGCAAGATACAAACAGTATTTTATTAGAAAAAGTTCATTGTAACAATAAATATTTTAGAACGCCCATTCATTTCTGAGCAACACCCTAATACATCAACGGTTATTACCTTATTGAAGCTTCGGCGAGAATAATAAGTAGATGAATTGCTGTTGCAATAGAGACCTTTGAGGAGCACTTATGGAGAGCGATCCAAGTATTTAGGATGGTTAATAGACAAACAAGGTGTCGGGGTTACGTAATAAACTATTATGTGTCGATAATGCCAGGATTTGAGAGTTGGTTAACACTTAGACTCTATAGAGAACATTTTTCACGAATATTGGAATGTTTTCTATGTAACACATTCCAATACTTTTCAAACATTTTACCTTTTCTCCATGTCGATCTGATAACCTTTTCAAACATTTCAAATGCTTCCCACCCCCCCATGACATTCTGTCCATGACGACCTGATAGCCGTATGTCTAACATTTCGTTGGCGTCTATCTCATGAAAATATCTGCAGTTACGGTCAGTTACGGTTTGAATATCGCCCTATCACATTGCAATGCTTGAGAAATGTTTCCAGCACCCATCTTTCTGCCTACTGTAGCCTGACTCCGCGTACTGTAATCCGACTCCGCCCAGAGCAAAGGTATAGAAACGGCTCCACGGTTAGCTAGCGCACGTCACAGCAATGCTGTCTAAGTCACCGTGTCCTCATGTAATAGAAGTCATATGCCAATTTCTTCACTCATAAGCAACCTGAACGCTAGTGATCAGACTGTGCCTGTTCATTGTTGCATTAATTGTAATTGTACAATTCTATTGCTATGCTACAATTGTTGTATAACTATGATAAACGGTTTAATTACCTAGGTTTGAGATGTCTGGCATTGTGAGTGCTACTTACAAAAAGTCCCGCGTGGCGTACACAAAGTCGAGCTGCTAATTACGACCAAATCGTCTTAAGTACATGGTATTCCTATATCAACGAGCCGTCTCAACAGACTCTGCAAATCGATGGAGTGGGCCGATAAGATCAAGAAAGGCGTTGTCTGAAAGCAAAATAGTACTGTTGTAGGGCTGACTAGTTCTCTGACATCTGGCAGGTACCAGCCCTTAGAGAGCCTACAAGCACAACAATTTCCATCTGCGAATCAAACAGTGGATCACCTGCTATGAGTCAGACCCTGTGCAACGATGTGAGATTTATCGAACTATTTTAGTAACTAGATGAAATGTGCATAGAGGCACGGAGCGTTCGATATTTATGAGCAATGCTCTCTGTAATACGTTTTTTCGTTTAAAGTGAAGCTTCAGGTCAATGCTTACATCATAGAACTATGCCATAATAAACGGCTAACCCACTTTTACACTGGTGCTATGCCTCACGGTGGGAAATCCTGCTGAATATATCTTTCTACTTCTGTTCAGCAAGCACGAGGTGCTATTCTATTTCTCCACTTACGCACAAGCTGACGTTTCGGCGGATTTCGCCTTCTTCAGAGCCGCTTTCTATGAGTCTTCCACTGAGTATGTCGGGTGAAGACCAACCGCACCAAATTCACATGGAATCGTAATGTTACGTAATGTTACGTAATGTTAAGCGACAATTCAATCAATGCCGAGGTTAATAGAAAGTCAGACTTGAGAGTTACTACAAAATCCTGCTGATTTTCGTATTAGCTAGACTTCGTTGTTTAGACACTAACATGTAATGTTCCCATAGAAAGGAATATATTAACAGAAACCGTACACTCTAATTTGTCAGCAATTGTGACTTCTTTCTCATGCGTCGTCTCAGTTCGTTACGAATAACGTGCAGCCGCTCAAAGTCTTTGGACATCTTCAGAGTGTCAGTCGATCGTGACTAAAACACAAAGGTAGGCGATCACATTAAAGCGGGCAAATTTCAGACAAGAATTTGAGAATGGAGAACACCCTAATGAAACATGGCTAGCGATGAAAATTGGCTGAGACATTTTGACTTTTGCTCCTCTCAAGACCACTTTTCTACTGAACTTGTTGTTGGAAATTTCTTACTTGTGGAAAACCTTGTGTTTCCAAGGAAAAATCTATTATTTCAGTGTATTTGTTCCATATATTGCCACCGTCTCATTTTTAATCAGAAACTTTTAAAAATTTTATGAGTACTCAAAAACTATTAGTTGACATAATAATGTAAAAAGGTTTAGCTTGTGCTAAGAACACATACAGTTACTACACAAATACTATACAAGTGGTTCGGTGGTGCATTGGTCTTCTAGTTAGTGTTCAGTACCGAATAAATGATAGCTCGAAGGAGAATACTCAACTTCTTACGAATTTGTCACGCGGGACTTTCTGACGTTGCCACAGAGCACCGTCTCAAGCTGGGGTTATAATTGCCCACAAAAATAATAACAATACAATATTAATAATGTGAATATTTAGAGAAGGCCGAAGCATAGAAGCGCCAGTGCCAAAAAGGGATCCTGGTGGACAGAACTCGTAGAGAGATTTGTGGAGAAAACTGTGGGGAAGACTAACTTCTGCTTGATAAAACCGCCTATATGCATTCTCGAAGAGGAGGAGTTTAGCCAGAGTAGTGGAAGAGAGTTTCGAAGAGGGAGTGACAGAACTTGGCTCTTTGAAGACGACTAAGCAGTGCAAGCGTAGTGCATTTCCGGTTGAGGGTACAACTAGTGCGCGACAAGTTGCATATTTGATCGAGAATATGACCAAGCAATGCGGGGCTAATTGTGATTACCAGGAAACGTAGCAATTGTAGAAAACGTACAGTGATATAGGGAATGGGGACAAATCAGGATTAGTTCTTCTAAATGCCCCTGCTTAATATACCTCACACCCTACGATGCTGACTTCGAATATCAGAAGGGAACTAGTTCTCTGCGCCTACTAATGCTATGTGTGTCTCTTCTCGCCGCAGTGAAATGGATCGAAATTTATTGTCCTCCTTGCCGCCGACAAGAGTGCACCATGCTCAGGAGGTTGAATAATACAGTCCTTGATGCACCCTTAAGCTCATTGCATGCGTTGTTTGCAAATGCGAAAAAGGGTATCATATCCAAATTCTTTTTCGATAAAGTTTTTGGCACATTTGAGTACAAACTGATTCACCTGCCACCCAAATATTTTTAGATCACCTACACTGCGCGCAGCCAAAGGGCACGCATGCAGTGGCGTCATTCGATATTGTTCCACTTTATACAAACCTGTCAAGTGACCCCACAATGCAGGCCATTCTCGAGCTGCTCGTTGGGCATGAAATGAAAGTAAAAATAACCACACATCGCATTAAATTCTATGTGATCGCACTACATAAAACAAAGATCAAAAAGATCGACCAGGTCCACCTGGACATCGAGGGATATCAGGGCCAGATGGGCCAGCAAAACCACGAGGGCTACTAGGGTTACTAGCACAAGAAAGGCCACAAGAGCCACCAGGGATAAGTAAGGACCCTCTATGAATTTTCTGTTCCTATCTGATGCACTTTCGTAGCTATTTCATGGAAGGATTGAATTAGCTCTTGGTGGAAACTGTTCCTTCTTTGTTTGATGTTCTATCGCGCACGGAAAGAACTTTATCAGATTGTACCAACCTGAACACTCTGAATCCATATCCTAACTCCGCCTACTTTTCTAGGAATAAAAGAAAGTTGTTCTGTCGTCTCTCCATTCACTTAGATCCCGTGACTGCCTTCATCTTCCTACGCATCCTTGCTTTATTTAGCAGAATCACACTGTTGCATTCATCTTTCTCACTAGCAATTTTGGTAACTGCAAAATGTTTTTTCCTCCAACTGCACCGTAGATATTCTTATCCCTTTGCAAATTTACAGCTTTTACTTCTTTTTGTTCAATAAACGCAGAATATGCAAAATCGAGTGTATCGTTGCAGAAGCCTCGTCCTCTTGATAGAGGATGAAGCACATTCTCATTTTCATTGCTCTTGTTGACATTACACTGGTAAGTTAATTTCTTTTCAGTATCTGAGGACGGCCGCTTTTCCGAATGGTGAGTAGATGTCATGATCTTTCAGACCTGTGTAAACAAAGATATCCGAGAAGAAGTGCGTGAGCCAGAGAAAACAAGGCAACCAGAGCCAGAGCTACGAGGGCGGCCAGGTCCACGAGGACCAGCAGGACCACCAGGGCCACCTGGGCAACAAGGGACATCAGGAGCAGATGGGCCACCAGGACCCCAAGGGCAACCAGGGCCGCCGGGAGAACAAGGGCCAGCTGGGCTAATGGGACCAGTTGGGCCACAAGGGCCACCAGGGATAAATAGGGAATAAATAGAGACCCTTTATAAATTTTCTGCTTTTATCTGATGCACTTTCCTAGCTATTTCGTCGAAGGATTGCAATTAGCTTTTTATGGAAACTAATTCTCCTTCGTTTAATGTTGCATCGCACACAGAAACAACTGTATCAGACTGTACTCGAACACTCTGAATCTACATCTTAACTCCGCCTATTTCCCAGGTAACATAACATGGTGATTATTGGTCGTCTCTCCATTCACTTAGGCCCTGTGAATGCCTTCATGTTTTTTAAGTAGCCTTGTTCAGTTCGTAAAATCATCCTGTCCTGTTCCTCTATCTCACAAGCAATTATGATCACTATGGTACGTTTTTTTTCCTGCAAGTGCACCAGAGATAATCTTATCCTTTTGAAAATTTACAGTCTTTCATTTTCTTTTGCTCAATAAACACAGACGATGCAAAATCGAGTGTATCGTTGCAGAAGCCTCGTCCTCTGGATAGAGCGTGAAACATGCACTAGTAGCCTAATGTTTCTTCACTATCTGAGAACAACCACTTCTCCGAATGGTGAACGGGTGTGGTGATCTCTCGGACCTGTAAATCCAATAGTGCCCAAGAAGGAATGCGAAGGTCAAGCACAATAACGGAACCAGAGCCAAGTAGAACAACGCAACCAGAGCCAGAGCTACGATGGTCACCAAAACATGAAGGACCACCAGGAAAAGAAGGGCGAAGATGTCAACCAGGGACACCAGGACCAGTAGAACCACAGGGGCTATCAATGCCACAGGTGCCACCAGTGATAAATAGGGTTGCCGAATCCGAAGGGAAACGAAGGTAACAGATATAAACCTCAAATTAAAGGTTCAGAGAAAGAAAAAGGATGTCCAATTATTGATGACCGTTACCAGTAATTTGAATAGGTAGCCACTAATAAAAAAATTGGCCGTCTCCAACACTGACGGGTCAGATAAATCAGCGTACTAACAACGACTTGAATAGTGCATGAATCACACTGTTGCAGAATTTTCCTAAAACATTTCTTGCAATCACCATTGGTTCAAGGCTACTCCTTTGACGACGATATCCTACTGCATTCACATCCAATGATCCTTAAGATTAAGTTGCAAAAACGCTTCACTATCGGGCAATTTGTTTATAACGTCGGATGTTTAGGTGGTGGATTTTGTACTGGAAGACATCGAAGACAATTCAGTCGTTATTGTGAAACCACGCATTGAAGCGGCTCTCTGATGAAGACTTTTCTATTGCAATTACTACCAATAAACCCTCTTGCCGCTCTTTCTTGTATTTGCATGTGCTATTATGATCTGTAAGGAAATGCATTAGTGGTACTGAGGCACACTGAAGCTACTGAATAATAAAAATATTCTGATATAAAACACGTCCAGGCTTTGTGGGAGACTAAGACGCCGAAACGTCAGCCATCGACAAACAACATCAGAAACATCGACAAAGAATCGATTACTGGTGCTTCCACTTTAACCATAAAGACAACGGCAAGGGTTGGTGCCAGTCGCTGTACCATTGCCAACTCTCTAATTTGCGCGTAACATTTCCCGGACCATATGAAGATCGAGTAGTTTAAACAGACCTTTATGAGGACCATAAGCTGCTGAATCGAAAAGGCACACATGTTAATTGCTTCTTCGTCTTGCTCTAGAAGCTCGCAGATGCCTTGGATTGCGGAGTCGTTCGACACGTTAGTGTATAGGGCGGTAACGTCGAAAGACTCCATCACGCACGCGCTGTTGGGCTGCGCAGTACGTAGACGATCCAGAAACAACTGCGTTTTCGTAAGATGGGCTGGAATGTGTTTCAACAACTGGTTAAATATTAGTTAAATAAAGCCAAGTAGTAAAAACATCTTGGTTCATTACCTCTCCTCTCATTCCTCTCACACGAAAAGGGCGCTTCTGAGAAACATGTTTCGAACAGCAACCAACGTGTGCACAGGAAGAGAGCAGAGAGAGGAGTCCCGGAACTTGGCATGGCAAATAGCCATTTCTAATGGCTACGAAACTGTTGCTCAGGATAGCTGTAGAGGAAATCCTAGGCCTCCAGAAGACAACTCTAGCGAAAGAAGGGTCTCGTTTAACCGACCCTTCATCTCAAATGATATAAGTACAGCTATAAAACGCTGCTTAAGAAGGGCGGGTTTAGAAAATTCGGTAAGCGTTGTTGAAATACCACCGAGTAATTCTAAGCGCCAGTTAGTTCGTAACCGCTTACATGACCGTCTATGTGCAACTCAAAATTGCATAATTTGCCCCAGTGGTAGAGACGGTGATTGCATGAGCTCGGGTATAGTTTATCTAATCTCCTATAAGATGTGCGGTGACGAATACATTGGCGATACGGGCAGACCCCTCTGTGTCCGCATAAAAGAACACCTAGCCGGCAAACATAGACCGAATACCCCGCTAGGCACGCATAGGACCCAGAGACATAACTGGGAGGACTTTGAAGTATGTGTCACGATCCTCGCACGCGAATCAAGAACACAGGCGCGAAAAACTCTCGAGGCATTCTGGATTAATTCCAGAAATCCGAAAATGAACCGCAGGGAAGAATGCTTCATTATCACGCGTGATATAGGGCAGTATATAAGACTGCTATTTTGATGGGAGGGGCACATTATACTTCCATGTGATTTCTGTGCGGTTGGTCTCTACGTGACATGCTTAGTGGAAACCTCATAGAAAGCGTTGAATGTGCAAAGTTGTGTTCAATGTGATTGAAGTTTTGGTTTAGAGTTTCTTTGTTTGGTTATGGAGGCGTCTGGCCGAGTAGATTGCTATCAACTTGGCCTTTCCAGGCTCTGAGGCAGGCGAAATCCGCCGAAGCGTCAGCTTATTCGTGAATAGAGAATAATAACACCTCGCGTTTGCTCAACAAAAATACGAAGAATTGCTTTCGATTTACAATCCTTAATGTTCTGTTTTGGTCGAATACTACAAGGAATATTTCGAAACCGACTTTCCTTGAACCTCGGTATCACTAATCAATACGTATTTTTTCTTTGATGAGCTTACACGAGGTTGATAATGATGTATTTTTTCGGCTAACGTTTCGACGTCTTCGTCTTCCTCAGAGCCGATGATCCGACTCGATGGTCATTATGGTCAAAATAAACATCATTATCAACCTCGTGTAAGCTCATCAAAGAAAGAATACATATTGATTAGTGATACCGAGGTTCAAGGAAAGTCGGTTTCGAAATATTACTACGCTTTGTGCTAGCTGATAACAACACCGACTTCTGCACGATGTGCGCAATGATGTATGTCCGGAAGAAAAACAAGTTTTTATCACCGGACATTATCATTATATCGACCATCAGCATCGTGTATAAAAGGGCATCACTGAGTAAGGATGCCATATTCGAGGAGATGGCTCACTGAAGAAGACCTGACTCGACACGAAAGCGAAGCTGCCACGTCGAGACGAATAACAAGCGAGGACCATCGACTCGGATCATCGGCTCTGAGGAAGACGAAGGCGTCGAAACGTTATCCGAAAATAAACATCATTATCAACCTCGTTTAAGCTTAACAAAGAAAGAATACATACTACAAGAAATGTTACGAAGTTTCAGAGAGACGTAAAATCGAAAGGTGTAAAAAGCTGCCCTTAGAACGGTTTGCCACGTTCATTTCTGGTGCATTTCGCAAAGTGAATCTCAAACGGTTGTATTCAAAGGTTTATATAGGCATTGAGCTGGTACGATCATGAGGGCGTTCCATGATTGACAACGTGTTGAGGAGTGGTCAGAAATATGATGAGGTGAAAATCAGACATCCTCACATACATAGGTAACATCATGATAATGTTAACTTTTTACTTCCTATTTCAATTTTTCACCGTAGACTATTATATGTGATACATACGAAGCAGTTCTGAGATATTTGCAAAACTCCGGAAAGCAAGTGTCTGCGGTGGGAACGAACGCGTTATTACCCTTTCCGGAGACTAACGCGTTCACCACCACACCATGGTGGTTGCTCGTTTCGCCTGTCTCTCAGCTAGTTTTATCGATCAGTGTCATTAGCAATCACCCGTCAACGGGATTGATCTGCAGAGCATAAATCGGCACTGAACTCACTTAGGCTGACACTAATTAGGCCAACACTGACGCGTTAGATAAATCAGCGTACTAACAACAACTTGATAGTGCATGAATCGCACTGCCGTAGAATTTTCCTAAAACATTTCCTGCAATCATCATTGGTTTAAAGCTACTCCTTTGAGGAGGATATCCTACTGCGTTCACATCCAATGATCCTTGAGATTAAGTTGCAAAAACGCCTTACTATCGAGCAATTTGTTTACAACGTCGGATGCTTAGGTGGTGGATTTTGTGCTGGA